AAAAAAAACCCGAAAGGGCCCCCCCCCCCCCCCCCCCCCCCCCAAAAAAAAAAAAAAAAAAAAAAAAAAAAAAAAAAAAAAAAAAAAAAAAAGCAGGACTGTGAGTGCAGTTCCTCAAACCCTCATCCTAAATGATTTACAGCGGCGTGGGCCAACAGCTAAAACCCAGACACACTGTTTGCCCTCAGTTACTCCTGGGCCTAAAATATGCGCTTCCCAATTCTGTCAGCTAGAATTACATAATTACAAGTTCTCCTGTCCTCGTGAGGCTGCCAGGCGATGGAAACGTTTACTGTACTTAATTCTGTGCTCATGATGAATGAGAGAGGTTGGCTTTAAGTTGCTTTCAGCTGCAGGAAAGCTGATCGTCGCCTCAGATAAATGACACATGGCATTCGGCTGCTTGAAATGACCGACGCTCCATCGCCAGAAGCCTTCCAACAATCTGCAGCTGCATGAATTGCTTCCTTTTCTTCTTCTTCTTTTTAAGCCATACTCGTTTCTTCCAAGATTAAAGCTAAAGAGCTAAGCTAACACCAATAGCTGCGCTTACCTGAGGGTTATCCATGAACCACACCAGGCTCCCCTGCTGTGTGTCCAGGATGAAGTAGCGTCGCAGGAACTTGCCGCTGTTCTCGTTCTCCTCGATGTCCAGGAAACCACAGATGCGGTTCTGTCGGTCCACATAAGGCATCTCGCTGCCGGGACATTCCCCGGCCTCGTCGGGCCGGGAGCGGAGGAGGAGGAGAGGGGGCGACCGGGATCGGGGAGAATTCCTTCGGGACACACAGAGAGGAAGAGAGAGAAAGAAAGAAAGAAAAAAAAAAGAGAAAAGAGTGGAAGGAGAGATTTGTGAGGCGGGAGAGGGCGGTTGTATTTCTCCTTCCTTCGTTTTGCATCTACTGTGGTCTCGCTGCCACCTGGAGCTCACCAGGCACCAACCAGCCAGCAGATCATGTGACACTAACCACAGCCCGCCCTTTTATCCTTTTATATCAGCCTCCCCCCCTCTCTCGTCGTCTTTTTTTTTTTTACTCTCCTTTGGCCTCTTTTTTTTTTTCCTGTAACACTGTCTCTCTCTCTCTCTCTCTCTCATACTTCCTCCGCGCTCTCTCTTTTTTTCCCCCCCTTCTTGCTTTGCAGTCGGCTCCTTTTTCACTTTCCGAGCTCTCTCCTCCCAAATGCTCACTCATCTGATTTGGCAAGCCTCTGTCCAATCCCTCCTATCTACTCCCTCCTTCAGCTCAGCACTCACTCACGCATATATATATATATATATATATATTATAGAGAGAGAGAATAATAATAAGCAGTTGTTAACCTGGCAAGTCACATCCCTAGGAAAAAACAACAACAAAAAAAACCTTTGTACGTTGTTAATCAACAAAAAAAGAAAGAAAAAAAAAAACGAGTCGATGCTCAACGCGTGTGACTGCTAACATCTCAATGTCAAAGCTCTGCGTGGGCGGGTGCCGAGTCGCTGTGGACATATTGTCGCATCAGCCTGTTTAAGCTGTTGTCTTTTTGGAGACCAGGCCTGAAATATGGGACTGATGTGTGTCAGTGGAAGGCAGAAGATAGAGGGGCTCTTTCTCCGCAACATTATGTGCGCTGTGTGGGTGGACAGGGAGAAATGGTGGTGGCGGTAGAGGGGGGGGACAGAGGGGACAAAAGGCTTAGTTGTTATGCACGGACTCTGGGCTGTGAGCATCTCGGCGAGTCCCTGCGTCCCGTTTGACACTCGGGCAAGAGAGAAGGGGCCGCAGTAAGAAGCAGCTATCTCAGCACAAAACAAATACCGACTGTCACGAGAGAGGCGGCCGGGCTGAGTAAGTGCTCCTGTGAATCCAGATGCCAGGGGCGGATTGTGGTTACGATCCTAAAGGTGAGGAAGAAAACCAAGACGTTAACAGAGCACCCTCTACAACGAATGGATAATGTCGACCAGGTGTTTAAGTTGGACTTGCTTCCTGTAAAGGTGGATTCTCTTTGCGCTAAAGTCAGATTTTGACTGAAACTCAACAAGCGCGCTCTCCCTGACGTCGGAGCCAGGAGTTTGATGTGCAGAGTGGCTGCACATCAAACTATGCAGGTATGACCATAGTTGTGACTGAGATTTTACTAACAGGCTTGTTTTGACTGGAGGTCATATTAACAGGAGTCCAGTCAAAGTCCCTGACCTGAATCTGATGATGAATCTGTGGGGGAAGCTAGCGATTAGGGTGATGGCAAAGAAGCCTTCCAACCGCAAAGACCAAAACATAATCATCACAGTTAAAAGGGTATAAATTAAGGCTGGGACGATAAATAGATTTTATCGATTAATCTAATTTTTGGTTTTGAGGATCCATCTGGACATCAATATTGCAAAGCAGATCATTAATGCCCGTCTGGTAATTAAAATGCTGTAGGCTTCAAACTTCAGTAACATGGCAAATACGTCTGGAGAAGATGATTCCTAAGAAGTCAGTAAGGCGAAAGTGAAAGTGTTGCTTGGAGGTATTGTATCTCTGAGGCAGACAAACAGGAAAAGCCAAAGGACACCAACAAGCAATTACACCGGCTGGCTCCACTTCACACACAAAAACAAGTCTGTTACAAAGAATCAAAACTATACAGTACCAAACTGTGAAGGCCACATTTCACCAAGTGGTGTTAATTCAAGAAGAATTTTTGCTTTAAAATAATTTATAATTTGAGCGCCCAGATTGAAGGTGACAAAACAAGCTGGTCAGAATCCATGGCAACCTACCACGCCAACTTGGCAACAAAATATAAGATGGAAATATTTTGTTTCATTTGAACAAGTTTCATTTTCCAAAGTGTCTGCTCTGTGAAACATTGTTATGTAGCTTACAATGTCTTGGATTTTTTTTTTTATACAGACGTGGAGTTCAGTTTAACAAACCCCATTATTTATTTATTACCAGCTACAAATATGATCAGCCTTTTTTTTTTTTTTATGCAGCCTTGAGACTCGGTCCTCATAACAAATAACAGGTTGTCGGTTTCCATGAGCCCCATTTGAGGTGTAGGCGACAGTGGTTCTTTCCTCCGTCTGACCCAAGAAAGACTTGGTGCTGATGAAGCAGCCACGCTTCGGGGTCAGCGTTTGCGGTGGTGGGGACAGAAAGAAAGCATCGGTTTAGAAATGAAACCGGTTTGGTGGAAAGAAAAAAAGAAAAAGACCCTTTCTTTCCATTAACGTCTTTCACTTTCTATTTAGCGCACAGTCATTTAAGGAGTCTTTTCAAGATCAGAACTACAGCCACTGACTTGACCTTAAAACTCTGATGCATAATAAGTTATTTTCACACTTCTCAGTTTTCTATTAGAGTGAAATTTGAAAAATCTCAGGAAGTAAGCTAGTCCAAATTTGGCCGGAAGGGAAAATGGATCAACTCTGATCCCTGGCTGATTAATTGGTATATATAAATATTTCCCATGGTGAAAGACGTCACTGGTGTCAGGAATTTTTGTAGCCATGACTAAACTGAGTTTCTGTGGAAAAAGTCTCAGTCATTTTACCATACTATTAGGCATACACTCATGCATTTTTCTGCTTTCTTTCTACCAAGAAGGGTTCTTTGCAAGAGACATTTTAAAAACAAAACCAAAAAATGGTTTCTTTAATAAAAGGAGCATGAAATAAAATGCATCTGAGAGTATAAATCTGCTTTACACACCCACATAGTCTAACTTGGAGATGATGCTTTGAGAGCATGATCTCCAAGACATGGATTTCATCAGACTAGCTTAGTAAGTATCTTGTTTCCACCCAATTTTCATGTAACAAATTCTTTACTAAAGAAACCCAGCCAAGAAAATGTTTGACAACCTGCCTGGTTGTAGCCTCATTTCAGACTCCAGGAGAAATTCACATTTATTTTCCTGTCTTTTGTTAAGAAAGAAAGAAAAAAAAAAAAGCATAACCCACTTCACTTTTAGATACTTCTAGTCTCTCATTATGGGCAAACTTAACACTGAAAATTGTTTTCAAGTTAACAACAACAACAACAAAAAAAAGAAATCTAGTAATAAGGGCTTATTTAGTGATACTTTAGCGACAGTGTTTAAAGGTATTCCTAAAATCATCACAATACAATTACATAGAAATGTTTAGCTATTTTAAAGAGACTATCCAGGCATATATTGTTGTAGATGTTCACTGAGAGTAAAAATAGAGCTCAGAAATCATCCATTTCATCAGAAATGGATGATCAATCTCCACAACAAATCTCCAACAACAAAATATGTTTTGTTGTTTCGGTAATTGCACTAAAAAAAAAAAAAAAAAAATCTTGCTCCTTGTGTGTTTTTGGGTTAGCGACATCACAAGAAGCACATGAATCAAGCTAATCAGTTGATTCTGGAACACAATGTTATGGGGGAACAACACATTTATATATCGTTTCCAAATCATTCGAGTTGCATTTCAGAATCAACCGTATGTGTTTGATCCAAAACGTGGCTCTAATGCCCAAACCATTACTGCTGCTGCTGCTGCAATGGGTGTTAACAGCTGAAGCAAACATTGACAATTATCATGTTCAGAGATTTAGTTGGTATCAGTCTGTTTATATTTCTGTTTGTACATATTTGTAACTTTTAAAGTGAGTAAATACCATGTTCTGCGGATCGCTTAGAAGAGTTCCTGATTTACCAGCAAAGCGGCATGGCACGCAATCTGAACTCGCAGCTTTACCTCATTCAGACAGGTCCTCTCTCTGACTGCTTACTGATTGATTTCCCCCCCCCCCTCATTATAGGCCTGTCCTGGGGTCATCTTTGTGTGGAAGTAGCAGGCAATGCAGAAACATCACTGGGATCAGATCTTAGTGATTTTATTACAAGAGGGCTAATATAAATCACAGAAGATCTGACAGTAAAAAAAACAAAACAACCACAGATAATGACTTCTGAAAGAGAGATTTGATTAAAAACTAAAGCTCCACCAATCCTATGTTGGTAAAGCTTCCTACAGTCAATGTAAGGTCTGTGAACTTGATTGATTAACTTGTGTACATTTTGTGCTCTGTTTGTCCAGTCTTCTTGTTATCTGTACCTTCTCCAACGTGACGTTTTAACAAGTCAGTGATACTCAAAGTAGCTGGTGTTGAGTCTTTTTCTCTTAACAGGAGCATCCACACTGAAGAGAGTTGTTGTCAACTTAATATTTTAGTATTTAGCATGGTGGATTATGAATTTTTACCTTTCCAACTTGCTATCACTATTAGACTATGGTGAATGTGTATTTTTCATCAGAACGCCTTTCAAAAAAAAAAAAACAGAAAGAAAGAAAAGAAAACACTAAAGAACAAATGAGGGTGTAGTAGCGGCAATTTACTGTGAAGGCCTTGCTCCCTGGAGGTCAAAGTGCAGGAGTAGGAGAGGTGGGTTCAGTTCAACTTTCTGCCCATAAACTACTTTTAACAGAGCAGATAAGGCCAGCAGGTTTGATTGCTATCACAAAGCTCCTTTCAGTTGAAAAGGACAATCAGAATGTCAAAGTTAAAATTAGTTTTGAATTGCAACCAACAAAAAGACTATCTGTCCGCGAGTTTAACTACCCAAACTCACGAAATAGCATTAGAATGAGAGTGAGCTAGTCTTGGTTAACATTTGACCATTTAGATTACCATAACCCATTGAACAATTGTGTTAGCAACAAAATGAACAACCAGAAATGGGTCAGGTTATGTTAGCTCTCTAGAAACAAGCTAAATGACTCACAAAATGCGTCCAATAGTGTAAATGTCCCACCTAAAACTATCGGGAATCTGCTGAGGGAACTACAGCTTGCGTTAACACGGCTAACAGAGATGACTGGGGTTAGCCCTCTTCGTAAAACATTAGAGGAAAACCAACAGGGGAAAAAAAGCTCGGAACGGTTAAGTTAGTGGCTTTCCATATGACGAGAAACATAGTTTACCTCCCAGCGTTCAACTTCCTACCAAGCGGACGTAGTCTTGGGGTTGTTTAGTCTGTCCTCTGCGCCGCAGCCCTCAGCCCATCTCAACAGATCCAGAAGACAACAGTCATACTGCTGCTCCAGGATGAACACAGATCGTCTGTTGCAAAGATGTTCACTCTGAGTTTGATCACACTGGATTATAGCTGCGACCTAACCGGAATGCATGTGAATGAAATTAAATTTTACAATATGAGTGACTTATAAACGCTTTACTGTGACCTCGCTAAAATATTAAGTTTTTCAGTTTTCAAGTTTTGAGACACTGTGAAACTGTGCTGTATTTGAATTTTGTATGATATTTAATTTTTTTCCATCTCCAAAACTTTTTTGTAGTATGTTGCATTTTTTTTATCTATTTTTTTTTCATTATGATTTGTTGAGATACTGTATAATTTTAAGGTACTAATTGAAAACAAACTAAAAATGCAATATTAGAAAGGAACTTAAAAAAGGATTGGAGTGAGATATCTTCAACCTATTTTTCGAGCAAATGTATGAAGGGACTTTGTTAATATGGACGGCAAGCTTCGTAGCAGAGTGGCAATTTAGCGACCCCTGGTGTTTAGAATCTGAAATCACATTAGCTTGTCTTTTTTTCTATAATTTTGCTTTCACATTCTTTAACTTAGTCGACATTTTTAGATTAATCAGTAAAAGTTGCATATCTTACTGTAGTTGACTATACAAATTTAAAAGTTATGATATTATACATCAGGAACTAGGCTGTAAGGAAAAATTTCTCGCACCATTGTTTTTTTTCTTGTAACTTCTCAAACTGCGGTCTTAAAACACAAGACAAACCAGTTAAAGCTGTTATTCGGTAGCTATTTTTTCTCACAGGCGTCGACAAAACGGGAACGTAAGAAGAAGTTTGCAGGAGGGACGAGAAGGAGGGGCCCCGACTTAGGCTGCTGCTTGTTCATAAAGAGAAGTTTCACTCTGCTGCACCTCTCCTGGCGGGCTGACGGAGGACGCGACGATGGAGGATGAGGAAGGAGACACATACCCAGAGATGAGGCGCTTTACTCAGCTGCTGCCCTTCCCCAGATACCGCTCCCAAAGTGACACCTCAGGATTTCGCTCCAGAGTGTTGTTCAGGCTCCGGGGAGCCCGCTCAGGTAGGAGACGACACTGCCTGACCCCTGGTTCAGATACCAATGGCAGACAACATTGTGTTTGAAAAGAACAGGTGCATCCATTTGAACAGGCACGTTACTGTAACACTTTTTATTTACAACCCTGCGTGGCTAATTTTACACTTATTTTTCCAAGCTGTTTTTTTTTTTCTTTTTAGTTGACAAACCAAATGTCTACTAAAGCAACACACTTGCAGTAACTTGAACACAACCGACTTAAAGCTTGTGGGCTCTACTATTGTTTTCCTAAATTATAATGAGGGTGACACACATAATGGAAACTTTAAACAAACTGACTTTTGAGACACCACTTATGGGCTTTTTTGGCCCTTCTTTGCAGCAAGAAAACCCACTCAGGGTCCAGTGGCAGAGTGTCAAAATGGCATCAAAAAGACAGGACGAATGCACTAGCGGTATAACGCCTCAGCCATTGTGGTAACCGCATATTTATCCTCCCCATCTTTCTCAAATGTCAGTGTGACAGTTTTTGCAGCCTGCTGCCCATGGCTGCATAGAGCGCATACCTGTTTATGTATTGACAGTGGTTGAAACCACTTCCTATAAGCCAGCTCCACTGCTTTAGCCTCATTCTGTATGAGTGCACACATTTGCCATCATTACTGATGGGCTGATACCATAATAATGCACTGCTTTTCTGATGAGATCTTCCATGTTCTGCGGTCTGATTAATCCGTGGTAGCATCACTGTCATGCGGATGCTTCACTGCTTTCTGCCTGTCTTGCACAGGAAGTATTGAGTGTTTATGTTTCGGCTGTAATTACAGGAAATGGTTGCTGGAGCAGTTAGGAAACTGGAAGTCCAAAGCTAATTTTTGCTCCTTACATCTGCAAGGTTATAGTTTGATCTTCTAAAAACCCAGAGTGCTTAAAGAGTTTCAAAGGGCCTTTTATTAACTCTTCTGTATCTTCAGATGCCGTCCCGGGAAGTTCTTTACAGATGTGAAGATATGAGTATCTGTTTTACGTACATATGATATGTGTTCCTGAGAGTGAGACCAAAATCTAATTCGATCTCAAGTTAAAATACTGGCGTTTTACCATCATTTTCAAAATTATGATCGATGTTACAAAAAGAAAACAGAAGAGGGAGCCGTTTCACCATTATACCCAGTGATCCTGCTGGAACTGCTTAAGCTTACAAGTGTGTCTCAATAAATTTGACCATCCTCTAAAAATTTATTTAATGCAGTAATTCAGTTCAAGATGTGAAATGTAATGTGTCGATTAGTTTCACTTCACAGATTGATATATGTGAAGCAATAACAAAACTAAAAAAATCCTCATGGTTGTGTGAGCCATAAATTTAAATAATAAATATTTTATTAAATATTATTATGTAATATATAAAAAAATGCTTTTGGCCTTTCATTTGTTGTACAACTAGCAGAACATCAATTGATTTGTGCAAATATAAAAGTTTCTTTTTTTTTAACCTGGAGTCCCACAACTTTCACTGATGTTATGTTAATGTTACCACAACAGTTTGTAAGATGGACGGATGAAGTGCTTCTCTTATGTACAAGAAAAATATGTGAATATCACCAACTGTCCAAAAAAGTGATTTTTTGAAGCCAACAAATCCCTTTAGTAACTTCCGTTGGATTATATCAAAAAGCCCGTTGGATATTTTCATAAAGCAACTGCAACTGCTCCGCTCAGGATGCAGCCTAAGCAATATTAATCATACTCTGACGACTGCACAAGACAATAAAGCAAAGCAGCAATATTCTGTGTGCATTGATAAAACCTGTGCTTGCATTAATTTTCATGTTTTTCAGTAATGATGATCAATCAGGCAGAGATGGCCTTCAGCCGATCTTCGCTAGTAGCAGATTATCCTCCAGATGGATGTACATGAAAAGACAAGGAAAGTAGGAGCAAAAGGAACAAAAAGCATCGATTCTTAACGAGATAGATGGAAGTCAAAGAGCAGAAGCAAAAAATTAATAGCATGTGGTGATTAAGTAGGAGGAGGAGAGGGCTGTGGACAAAAAGACAAAAAAGCAGCATCATCTTGCCGGGAGCTCTCTTCCTTTCGGGTCTCCTTCCCAAAATAACGCTGATTACAGCCCCTTTGAGTCGGCAATAACTACTTGTTAAAACATTGAGTTATACAGATAGCAGCTCTTTACCCCTCACTTCCCACACATGGTCTATGCTTAGCCTCCGCTGTGGCTTCTGTTAAAGACTCAGAAATAAAACTCTGCTCTGACAGAGAAATGCGGTTATGAATGCATGAAGTTTGAAACGCGTTTCAGCTAGAAATCTTTCACGACTGGCCGTCGAGAACATTTGCATCAGATGTGCATCTGGAAGCTGATTTTAATTGACACTGAGATACAATCAAACTCAACATATCCTGTTTTAGATAAGTTAGGTTTGATGAATAATGAGGCAACATATTTTTTCACATTTTTTGATTTCTCGGGTTTGCCATGTTGTTCAGCAATTTAGGAAACCCCCACATGATGTAAACTTCTCTTAAAATGAAGAACACTTTCAGATGCATTTTAAGGCACCGCCTTTAAAAACACACTTCCTTTTGTGACAAAACTGAACCTCTAAAAGTCTGGTACGTCCTTGGTTTTAATCTCAACGTACCAACATGTCAACACATCAACATCGACATGTCAGCGTCAAACACGAACGTATCAACATGGGCTGAAATGCCACTCAGAGGAAAAAGCCATTCTACCTTTGTATATATGGAGGAAAAAGGGGATCTTGAAAACCTGCAATTTCACGTAGCTATAAAAAAAAAGTATTTGCCCATCCAAAGGATTGTGCAACTGAGTTGATTAAGTTAAACATGTGTTAAATGTGCATATCTATTTGAACAGTTTGTTGGAAGCAGTGATTGTTATAGAGTCTTACAGCTGCTGGAAGAAAGGATCTATGGTAGCGCTCCTTAGTGCACCTCGGATGCACCCGTCTGTGACTCACTGTCAGTGTCCATTTGACCGTCTTCAGGTTTTCAATTTCTTGTTTTGTTTTGTTTTCTTTTTACTAAGAAACTCTCTTTTGTGTTGTTTACCAATTTAGAAAAATTGGGGGAATTAGTTTCTTTAAATTTAATAAAACAATTACAGTGTGACTTACCCAGCCCCTGGTCACAGTGAGATTTGTTTAAAAATGGCATCTCATCATGCTTTAAATACATGCAACACAACATTTCAGGAAAAGAGCATTACACTAACAATCACAATTGCAATAGTGTGATTGTGTGGAGCTCCTTATCAAGACATGGACTATATGTAATTGTTGGAACCATAATTTCCAGGGCATTCTCAGACAGGAGAATGCCCTGGTGTCTGTTTGGTACCTTAATTGTGTAAGTGAGATGCTGTGACATGACCTTAAACCATTAGGACATTCATTCAATTGTTACAATTGTCCAATAAAGTAAAGTTTGAACATTTCTGAAATGCTCCAGTCTCCCTAACTAAAGAGCAAGTCATGCTAGTATTTGCGTTTTCAAACTTCCGTGTCCTGTTGTAATGAAATATACAACAAAGAAGGCTATTAAGCAGTGGGTTCAAAAGATTTAGTAATTATTCTAATGTTTATTCAGTCTTGGTCTGTTTTAAGTGGATTGTGTTCATTCCGTTCTTGCATTAACTCGTGGAAAAAGAAAAGAACTATCCTTTTTAATTACCATCTGGTCTTGTGAAGTACTGGAGTTTTCTAGTGGTTCTATCATACAGGTTTGTGTTCGTCTGTGGAGGTGGGCTTTGGCGGCGGTGACGAGCCGGTTGTTGTTTCTTCTCGCTCGGCGCGTGTCGCTTCGTCGGACTTCTTAAAAAGCCAAAGTCTCACTCATGCCGTTTGTCTCCCCTTCCATCTGTCTATCAGTAACTCTGTGGTTACTTACTAAGCCTTTAACTCTATTAATATTTGTAAAAACGCCTCAGCAGCAAATGAGCAGGAT